CGGGGGGCTGCAGGGGCCGGGGTCTGTGGGGGCTGTGAGGGGCTGGGGTCTGAGGGCAGGAGGTTCTGGGGAGCCGAGGTCTGCGAGGGTCGGGGGCTCGGGGGGCTGCGGTCTGCGAGGGTCAGAGTCTCCGGGGGGCTGCAGGGGCCGGGGTCTGTGGGGGCTGTGAGGGGCCGGGGTGTCTGAAGACTGGGAGCTCTGGGGAGCCTGGGGCACGTGAGGGCTGGGGATGACTGCAGCGGGGGGGGCGGGGGGGGGCTGGCGCCTGCAGTGTCTCTGGGGCCAGCGGCCAGGGACGGGGCTGTGAAGGCCGGGGCTCCAGGGAGCTGGGGGTCCAGGACGGCCAGTGTTCTCTGAGGGCCGGGGATCCCTGGGGCTTGCGGGGCCTGCTGCCTGCGGGGTCTTTGGAACCAGTGGTCTGGGATGGGGGCTGGGACACAGGGGCAGGAAGGGGAGCTGGGGTGTGGGAGGGTGGGGGATGGGGGGGCTGGGGTCTGCTAGGGGTGGGGGTATCAGGGTGGGGCATGGGGGTGCTGGGGACTCTGGGAGCTGGTGCTTGTGAGGTCTCTGGGACTGGTGGCCCCCGGTTAGGAGGCTGGAAAGCGGGGGGCTCCTGTGGGCTCGGGGGGCTCCTGTGGGCTCGGGTCCCTGACGGTGGTGGGCTGCAAGGGGGGGGGCATGGAGTGTCCAAGGGTCAGGTTCTGTGGGGAGCTGCGGTCCGCAGGGATCCTGGGGGTGGAAGCAGAGGCCTTCCCCGGCGGAGGGATCTGGGGCTCCTGGGGGCACAGAGGCCCCTACAGACCCCGGGCGGTCCTGGGGGCTGCTGCGGGTCATAAAGGGTAAACGGGTGGGGGACTGCGGTTGTCCCTGGGGCTGGAGGAAGCTGAGGGTGCCGGGGGGCTGTGGAGAGCCCTGACCAGTGGAGGCCAGTGTGTGGGCCCAGGGGCAGCTGGAGGGGCTGGAGGTCATCGGGCTGCAAGGTTGATGAAGGGGGGGCCTGGACTAGGGGTAGCTGTCACCATGGGAGCCCGGCTGGGAGGAGGTCTTGGGTCACAGGTAGGCCCAGAGTCCCTCAGTCCCCTAGACTGGGCTGGGGGGGATCTCCTGCCCTGCAGAAGCCCCGTCTGGAGGCCCTCCACCCCCTAGACCCACCCAGGTGTGTCTTCTGCCTTGTAGCAGCCTCCAGTCTGGGAGCCCCTCACCCGCATACCCAGCCAGGTGCCCCTTCTGCCCTGCACCAGCCCCTGTGTGCGGGAGCCACCCCAGGCTGAGCCTCGGGCCTTGAGGGAAGCTCCCGGCAGGGGGCGGGGGCGGCAGCCGCCCGTGTTGTCTGGGTGCCTGCGGGAGCTGGGCTTTCCGGAAGTGGCACTGGTCGGACCAGTAGGAGGGTGCTGCCTCGGAGGACGGGGAGGGCAGGACGAGGGCCGGAGGAGGGCAGGTGCGCACGGGAGCGCGCAGGCTGCTCGGGCCCTTCTCCGCGTGTTATTTACGGCAGACGCGGAGGGAACATGAGCCGCGGTCGAGCTGTCGACGCGGACACTGTGGCCAGGAACTTCCTGTTTCCTTAGGGCCGCTGCCGGCGCAGACCGTCCCGCGTCTGCAGCTGAGTTCCTTCCTGTCCCGAGTCCTCCGGTCCGCGGCCTCCCGCGGAGCCCTGCACGGCTCACCGCCTCTCCCTCCGCAGGGGAGCGGGAGCTGCGCTCCCTCCGCGGCCTTGGGAGGGCTGCCGCCGCGCTGGGTGACCCAAGGCCCGCCCTGGCAGTTTTTTCCCGCCCGGGTTTCTCTTCTCTCTGATTCAGAAAAACCCACAGAACAACCCACAGCCGCACAGAACACGGGGTCGGGAGACGGCGGCGTCCGTGCGCTCGAGCCCCGCTCCTGGCTGAGGCGGGCAGGCACCCCCGTCTCCCAGGCCCGCTGCCCTGACCGCCCGCGTTGGTGTTCCAGGCCCAGGGTCCCGGCTATGGCCGCGGCCACGATCGTGCACGACACGTCTGAGGCGGTGGAGCTGTGCGCCCCGTACGGCCTGTACCTGAAGCCCATCACGAAGATGACCATCAGCGTAGCGCTGCCGCAGCTGAAGCAGCCGGGCAAGTCCATCTCCAACTGGGAGGTGATGGAGCGGCTCAAGGGCATGGTGCACAGCCACCAGTTCTCCACGCTGCGCATCTCCAAGAGCACCATGGACTTCATCCGCTTCGAGGGCGAGGTGGAGAACAAGAGCCTGGTCAAGTCCTTCCTGGCCTGCCTGGACGGCAAGACCATCAAGCTCAGCGGCTTCTCCGACATCCTCAAGGTGCGCGCCGCCGAGTTCAAGATCGACTTCCCCACGCGCCACGACTGGGACTCCTTCTTCCGCGACGCCAAGGACATGAACGAGACGCTGCCCGGGGAGCGGCCGGACACCATCCACCTCGAGGGCCTTCCTTGCAGGTGGTTCGCCCTCAAGGACGCGGGCTCCGAGAAGCCCAGCGAGGAGGTGCTGGTCAAGGTGTTCGAGAAGTTCGGGGAGATCCGCAACGTGGACATCCCCATGCTGGACCCCTACCGGGAGGAGATGACCGGCCGCAACTTCCACACCTTCAGTTTCGGGGGACACTTGAACTTCGAGGCCTACGTGCAGTACCGCGAGTACGTGGGCTTCATCCAGGCCATGAGCGCCCTGCGCGGCATGAAGCTCATGCACAAGGGGGAGGACGGCAAGGCCGTGGCCTGCAACATCAAGGTGAGCCCGGCCTGGCGCCGGCCCTGGCCCGGGGCACCGTCTGCGCAGGTCCCGCGGCGGGTTCGGGGACCGCGGGCCGGTGGGCAGCCCTCGTTCGTGCAGCGGAGGCCGCGTGGCGGCCGGCCTATTGCGTTGGTCCGCGGGGACGGTGGGGTCCTCCTTGCGGGAGGGGACACGCTCTCTTGGATAATGGGGACCTTCTATCCAGACTGTCGGAGCAGGCAGTCGCCGCTGTCGCTGCGCGCTCCCCCTGGGATCGTCCGGGGAGCTCCGTGTTGAGCTGCCAAGTGGCTGCGAGCGCTCCGACGCGTCCCAGGGGTCAGGGCCCCATGTCCCGGGTGCCCCCGCCGTTGAGTGCGGGGTCTCTGGAACGTGGGCGTCCCTTGCCGTCGGGCAGCGCTGGCCGCGGGTCTGAGGCGAACTCGCGGGTCAGTGTGCTCTGTGCTGTTTGCCCCCGAAGGTCTCCTTCGACTCCACCAAGCACTTGAGCGACGCGTCCATTAAGAAGCGGCAGCTGGAGAGGCAGAAGCTGCAGGAGCTGGAGCAGCAGAGGGAGGAGCAGAAGCGCCGCGAGAAGGAGGCGGAGGAGCGGCAGCGTGCCGAGGAGAGGTCGGTCTGCGTGCGCGCGTCTGCGTGCGCGTGTCCCCGTGCGCGCGTCTGCGTGCGCGCGTCCCCGTGCCATCTGAGTCCGCGTGTTTCCGTGCACACGTCTCCGTGTGCCCATCTCTGTGCGTGCGTCTCCGTGCACGTCTGGGACGTGTGTTCCATGCACGCGCCACTGGAGGCTTGTGCCGCGCTGTCCCTGCACAGCGTCCCATGTCCGGGCCGCCGTGCACTCGAGGCGAAACTCCGCTCGCGACGGGGACGGGACGCCTGGTGACCTCGGCCGCGTTCCAGGGGAAGCGGTTTCCATGGCCAGGCGGTCGTCGCTGGGCTCTTGGGCCGCTCAGGCGTGGGGGGCGCGCGCGGTCCCTGTCGCTGCACGTCCCCGTTCCTGTGCTGTGGAAGGACGCTCAGCCGTGGCGTTCCCTCGTTGTGGGGCGGGTCTCCATGTTCCGCCACCCCTGCTGGTCTTCGCGCGTCTGTTCGCAGGTTTTGGTGTGTTTCCCACCAGCGGTCTGCGTTCCGTGTGCTGCCGGGTGTCCAGGCAGGACGCGTCTGATGGGGCCGCGTTCCCCGTTAGCGGTCTTGGGGTTTGCGTGTGCGCGGAGGGCAGTCCGCCTTCCCCTGCGGCCGGGGGCGCCTTCACTCGGACCCGGATGCAGAGGCGACTCTGGACTGAGATTTCGCTCTCGAGTCCAGTTGTGGGGCCGTGGGTGCACACCACGTGCGTTACTCTTGCCCTGGCTCCGTGTCATTTGCCAGGGAGAGGCGCCTTGGTGGCCCGGCAGGACGCCGCTTGTGGGGCGTGGCTGGGACGGGAGACCTAGCCCCAGAGTGCGGCCCACGCCTGGGGCTCCTCGTGCAGACGCTGCACCCCGGCCGGTGGTGGGGGTCTTACCCTGAGCCCCCGTTCCTGTGTCCGTGGGCTCCTGGGGCGGAGCGGGAAAGGCCGAGGCGGGAGGCTCCGTCACACCTCTGATGTGTCGCAAGCACGGCAGCCCAGGCCTTGTCCCCCCGAGCAGGGACTGTGACCCCCACACCTGGGCCCCTTGCCACACCCTCTCAGGAGGCACCGGGGTCTCCCTAGAGGCACCCTGTCCTGGACCTTCAACCCCGGAAGAAGCAGGGACTTGGCCTCAGAGGACAGGCTGCTCCGTCTGTCTGGGCTGGAGGCGTGATGAGCACTGACGGTTCCGGATGGCGGTGGCTCTCGGGCTGCAGCCAGTGCTTCTGCTGAGCTCACCGAGGGCTCGTTAGAGCTGAGGGCTGGGAGGGGAGGGGGCCAGGCCGGCCCACAGAGCCCGCTGCTACTGCCTGTCCTGGCCCTTTCTCGGCCTGAGTGTGTGGGCCGGCCTCGCGCAGCCTTGGTGCCCGTCCAGCCTCGGTCACTGGCGCGTGCTCACTTGGCCGCTTGTGAGTCTCAGACGGGTGGAGCGTGACTGGTGGCTGTCCCGCTCTGGCAGGCGACCAGCCCCCGGGCCTCCGGCTCCGCCTCTGCTCAGAGCAGTGCCCGCCCGCAGGACGCCTTACGCTGCTCGGACCTGCGGCTCTCGGGGCCGGTGGGGTCTGGACACTGGGCGGCTCTCCGTGCCCGCGGAGGCCCCACACCTTGTCCCGCTGGCCAGTGGGAGCGCCCGGCCCCACGCTTGGCCGAGTACTTGCTGGGCCACCGCGGGGTTTGCGTCCTCGTGTGTCCTGTCGGGTGCGTGTTCTCCGCGACGTGTCGTCACCCTGGCTGTGGGGCTGCTCTACAGGGTCTTGGCTGCCTCCTGGGCCCAGAGCTCTCCCCTCGTGCGTCCGGTCTCCTCAGGGCGGTTTTCAGCACTGTCCCGTGTCTTGATTATTTGACCTATTTTGAGGCCAGAGTGCGGTTGAGGTTGCCGTGGAAACATACCCCATGGTTTGCAGACTTTCCCTGTTGGGGTCTCTGCAGCTCTTCTGGTTGCATCTCGATCCTCTTTTTGGGGACCCCTCCCCCTGCCAGAAACAGGATCTAATCGGTGGCCTTGGGCGTGGGTTTGGTTTATAACAACCTGACGTGTCCGGGTGGTTCCTCTCGGCGACATGACCATTTCCGTACTGGAGAGCGCACTCTTAGGGACCCCCAGTCTAGGAAAGACACCACCGGGCACGCTGTCCTCGGTTTCTGTCACTGTGGCTTTGTCTTTCCTGGAATGTCACACAGGCAGGATCCCAGGGTACACAGTTTTCTGCCTTTAGTCTTTCCCTTAGCAAAATGCTTCCAGAACTCCGTCTGGGACTGGGCACACGTGCATCCTGCTGTTTCCGCGGCGCCCTACCGCCTGCTTGCGGAGCCCCAGCGATGGGCTTTGTGCCCCTGGGGGCATGTGCCAGCACTGTGTGCAGGCTGAGCCCTTCTGTCCTGAGCCGAAGGCGGTGTCTGAGCTGACGGCCGTGTGCAGTGAGTCTGCAGCGCGTGCCCCGCGGTGTACCATGGGCTGCCGTCCTGCGGGCGCTGGACCGTGTCCTGAGTGCCCTGTCCACCCCCTGTCCTTGCCCCGGGGATGGGCTTTGCCCCCATGCCCGCTCCTGTGCCGCCTCCCCTCTGTGGCAGAAGCTGTATGTCGGGGCCCCAGGGGGTCAGTCCTGCCTGGCCGTCCCGGCTGGCGCTGTGGCAGGAGGATCCCAGGCCGTCGTGGGCCTCTGCAGCTCTTGGTGGGCCTCGTTGAAACCCAGAATTTCTGCGTCCGACCCTCCCGTTGTTTGCTCCGTGGCTGCAGGCTGGTCGGCAGAACCGCCCCTCCGAAGGTTCTGAAAACGCGTGGTCTGCGTGCGTGTCCGCTTCTCCGGTTCCCCGGGTTGAGCGGAGCCCGAGTGGGGGATACGAGGTTAAAACGTCCGCGCGTGCCCGCGCTCCGACACGCCTGCCGTCCCCTGGCGTGCAGCCCCCGCGTGGCCGGGTCCCGCGCGCCACCGCGGCTGCTCCCTGCTCACGGGAGCGCTCACGGGAGCGGTCGGCGTGTTCCCGCAGGAAACAGAAGCAGCTGGAGGAGCTGGAGCGGGAGCGGAAGCGCGAGGAGAAGCTGCGCCGGCGGGAGCAGAAGCAGCGGGACCGCGAGCTGCGCCGTAGCCAGAAGAAGCTGGAGAAGCTGCAGGCGCAGGAGCAGAAGCAGCTGCAGGAGAAGATCCGGCTGGAGGAGCGCAAGCTGCTGCTGGCCCAGCGCAACCTGCAGTCCATCCGCCTCATCGCGGAGCTGCTCAGCAGGGCCAAGGTGCGGGGCGCGCGGGTGGGCGGGGCGCGCAGGGCGGGCTTGTCGGGCAGCCTGGGAGCCGCCGCCTCCACTCCGGCCGCCGTCCACTGTCTCTGACCCGCGGCTGGCGTCACCACCCCGTTCCTGCCGTCGGCTGCCGCCACGGGGTAACAATGAGCATCAGTACAGTCGGGGACGCTGTCTCCTGGTGTCTGGGGCTTTCCTGCCTCGGTCCAGGTTCTAGAATGTTCCCGTCTGGCAGAGCTCGTAGAGCTTTGAATCCGTGTGACATGCGTGCCCTTGGGGAGCAGGGGCGGAGGGTCCCTGTTTCCCTGTGGACCCAGGGAGCAGCCGAGTTCAGCAAGGGCCCCCCGGCCCCGTGGCTCTCCTCCCCCTGCAGGTGGTCTGCCTGGGGCTGGCGGGACGGCGGGCTTTCCTGCGACCCCGAAAGCCAGTGGCCGGGAGCGGCCGGAGGGTGTGGGCTGAGCCTGGCGATAGAGGGGCCCTTTGGCACCGTGGGGAGCTGAGGGCGCAGACGGAGCCTGGGTGGGCCACGTCCCTCCTCCACAGCCGTGGACCGCGCGTGTCTCGGCGGGTTCCCGATGGATGAGGGTCTCAGAGCTGAGCATCTCCTCGTTCCTCCTGCCCGCTCCGCTCCTTCTGGAGGCCCGGCCGGTGACTCCTGCGAGCCGGGGGCCGGGGCCACGCGGGGACCTCGCCCAGCGCTGCTTGTGCTCGGGCAGGCCGCGTGCGCCTACGGAGTGGGGCGCGGGGCGACCCCGTAACCTGTTGTCTAATTACAGTTGTGATCAGTCCCCGGGAAGGAGACTGGCAGGCGCGCTGAGACGCGGCAGCTCAGCTCCTGTTTCATGGTGAATATTGAAGACGCGCACCCAGGCCGGGCCCCGCACCTCCCGCGGCGGCCGCGGCAGCGGCAGCGTGTGTCCGCCTCATCTCAGCTCCCCGTAGCTGGTGACCGCGTGCGACCTCCCAGCAGGCCCCATGCGCGCCTTGGAGAGGTCGGGCCCCACCCAAAATGCCCGCCCCGGGGGCTGTGCCGCGTCGCTTCGCCACGGGGTTCCTTCTCGCTCGGACGCTTGGCGGCCCGGGTGCGGTCGGGACCGGGCGGGCCGCGCTCCGGCCGGAGCGTCCACCCGCATCCCCCAGGCCTCGGGGACCTTGCAAACCCAGCGCCTCCTCAGAGCGCGGGGGGCGTCCAGAGGTCCACGTGCGTCTTCCCCTTTGTGCCGTAGGCCGCGAAGCTGCAGGAGCAGGAGCGGAAGGACGCGTCGCTGCGGCTGCAGCAGCTGGAAGAGCGGCGGCGGCGGCAGGAGGCGGAGCTGCGGCGCGTAGAGGAGGAGAAGGAGCGCGCGCTGGGGCTGCAGCGCAAGGAGCGCGAGCTTCGGGAGCGGCTGTTGAGCATCCTGCTGAGCAAGAAGGCGGATGACCCCCGCGCGCGCGACGAGCTCGCGCTCTCCCACGCGCAGCTCCTGCAGCCGGTGCTGGACATCCTGCAGACCGTGTCAGCCGGCTGCGTGGGCGCCGCCGCCCTGCACCCTCTGGGGGGCCAGCCGCCCCCCGACACGCCGAAGGACACCCCGCCGCGGCCGGAGAGCGACGGCACGCCCAGGAACGGGACCGGGAGCGTCCCCGAGGAGGCCCCGTGCAAGGAAGGCCCCGATTCTCGCCTCGCCGCCGCGGGGGAAGCTTCCCCGGACAAGAGGTGCCCCGGCGTGCTCGCCTGCATTCCCGACAACAACCAGCAGCCCAAGGGCCTGCCCGCCGCCTGGGACCAGAACGCGCCTAAAAAGGACATCCGTTCCGAGCAAGACAAGTGCAACCGGGAGCCCAGCGGGAGCCGAGGCCGGGCCAGCGGGGGCCGCGCGGAGGACGAGCGGCACAAGCGGGAGAGGAGCCGGCCGCGGCGGGCGGGCAGTCGGGAGGATGGGAGGCAGCCGCGGAAGGAGCGGCGGCAGCACAAGAAGCGCTCACGCCAGGACGACAGCCCTCCGCGGCGGAGCGCGAGCCCGGCGCACAGCCGGTCCCGCAGGTCGCACAGCAGAGAGCGGTCCAGCCGCCGGGAGAGAAGCCGAGACCGCAGGGGCGGCTCGGGCCGGAAGCGTAGCCGCCATCGCCGCAGCGAGCGAGACAGGTCGCGCTCAGGGTCCCCCAGCCGGCACCACAGCACCTGGAACAGGTAATGCGTGGTGGTGTCCCAAGCGGCTGCCGGGCGAAGATCGGGACTGTGGCGCTTCCCCGCTCCCCTTCCGCCCGGCCTCCGCGCAGCACGGCGCCCAGGAGCCAGCCACGCAGGAGGGCCACGCGTCCCGCGTCTCCTTCGTCAACACCCGCTGGCCCTCTTCGAGCGCGCCGTCCGCAGTCGCTACCTTTAGTTTTCCCTCGAAACTGTTGATCCGATAGCTTTAACGTCACTGGTCTGTCTCCAAGAGGAGAGGCGCCCTGGCCGGCAGCGGTGACACATGTGCGCAGGCCGAGCGGCCTTTCTGTCCCGTCCAGAGACGCCCCCGCGTGCACTGACTGCTCGGGACGCACGTGCCCGTCGTCTGGGGACAGACTGTGAAGGACGGACAGCCGGGGTCCCGCAGGGCCCCGAAAATTTGAAAAAGCCGCGCCTTGGCGCTTTTGTTTCCTTTTCCTTTTGTAATTTTAAGTGATTGGGAAGCGCGGTTGGCGGGATGGCGGGAGAAGCCGGTGGTCTGGCGCGTGCGGTCCCGTGTGGCACCGGGCAAGTCCTCGAGCTCAGCACTCGCCCGTGCAGCCTCTCCAGCCCCGGTGCGTGCGGGGCGGTCCGGCTCGGTGTCCCGCCCCTTCGCTCGGGAAGCATCCGCGCTGCAAACTGGTCATTACGCATCAAGGAAGGTCGGTGTGGAGCTTTGGTTTCTAGGCGAGGTTAGCGTGTGTGGTTTTTTTAAGAAGCCGTTTTGCTAAATTATTTTTACTTGGAACATTTCAAACAGATTTAAGGCTTAAACACTTGTTAAATTTTATAATCATTTGCTTCTCCAAGTGAAGCTCAAGAAATACTTAAAAATAGCTGTAATGTTTGCGTTAGGAAAGACGGTGTTTACTCCAGTTTGCATTTTTGTGGAATAAAATCTTTTTCCAAAGAACTGACATTTTCCGTACTCTTTTTTGTTTGTTTGAGCTCTTTGGGCTGTTACTGAACGGAGCCTAATTTGGCAGATTGGGAACTGATTGAAACACGGGCTTTATTGAGAACCGCTGACAGGCAACAACGCATTTCACAGCGCGGTCGTCCCTGTAAAATAACCCCGTGAAAAAGGAGAGTCCTGGGTCCTGCGAAGTGATCCCTTTGAGCTCAATTTAGCAAGTTCACGAAAGCAGCATTTTTAAAACCAAAGAGCAGGTTTTACAGGTGAGTGAAGGTATGGGTGGTCCTTGTCTCACCTAGACTTGTAGCAGGTCGGGGCGGCACTGCTGCTGGGACCCCACACCGGAGCAGTGCCGCCGGCCGGCCCCGTTTCACCCGCACGCAGATCTGGTCCGCGCCCGGACCGCGGGCCGCGGGCCTCCCGCCCCCCAGCTCACTTCCGCGTCCCAGACCAGGGTGGACACCGCAGACCCGCGGCTGTCTTTGTGTGGCGCGGCTTCCTTCTGGTCTGTTGCCTGCTGAGGCCAGGCTGCAGGGTGTCCTCGGATGCTCAGGGATTGGATGGCTTCCCAGAAATCCCGTCGTGACCCCTGTAGCCCAGCTCTGAGCCTTTGCCCCGTCGGGGGCTCAGGACATCCTGCGACCAGGTGTTGGGAAGTCTCTGAGGCCGGGGGGTAGGTCTCTGGGGCGCGGGGAGCTTCTGCCTGAGCTCAGGGAGGTGGGTTTCTGTGACCGTTGTTCTCCAGGCTGGTCTGGACAGTGGGAACAGACGTGGTGTGTTATGGGCTCAGGGAGTCAGGGTGGCCCGGGAGGTGTTAGTGTACAAGAGATGAATGCGTGGACCGGGTCCCTTCCAACCTGGAAAGGGCAGGTAGGAGGACTTCAGACTGGGCACGACGTGATAGAGGTTTGCAGAGAGCAAGGTTGGGGATGGGGCTTCTGGCCACAGGTGTCGACCTGGAAGAAGCCGACGCGTGGGGCAAGAGGTTACGGAGAGAGGGCAGGGGACGTGTAACTGGGCAGTGTGTGCCCTTCGGGGACCATGGGATGTATACATGTGGCGGTGCAGGATCGGGAGAACACCAGGCAAGCTGGAGAAGGCCAGCGCCAGACCTACAGGGTGGGGAAGACCTACTGGGAACCTGGGCTTCCATTACCCCCTCCCCCGCTCTTCATGGACGTCCCAGCCCTGAGCGCCCGGGAGGGTGGACGGGTCACCGTGCTGTCCAGGCCGTTCCGCCCTCCCCGCCGTGGGCCTGCTGCGTCTGGGGGTGACTGTGGCTGCGCTGACATCCCCGTCAGCGCTGGAGCACGTTGTCCTCGCCGTCCTGCCAGCGTCGGCCTCGTGTGCTTGCGCTCGCTGTTCGCGGGCGCCTACAGGTTGAGGACCGTCCTGTCTTGGGAGCACGGACGTGGGTCATTCGTGACGCTCCTTTTTACTCGGGGTGGTTTTCCTCGTTCTCAAGTCTCTGTAGACGCAAATGGGGAACAGAGGAACGTGTTGGGAAGGGGGGGTCCGTTACGGTTGACGGTGGAGGCCTAGCCGCCCCCCCACAACATCACAGCGTGTCAGGAGGAAAAGGGTCGCAGCTGAGGCTACAGGGTGCCCCTCAGGCCACGTTCTGCCCTTTGAAGGGCAAAGGTACTTTGTCGTGCTGCAGTACGCACCTCGGCAGGCCCCACAGCGACATCACCCCGAAAGCGGACCCAGAACCCGAGTGCCTGGTTTTGAGCTGCTCCCCCCCCCCACACCTGTTCTGCGGTGAGACGGGTCACCGCGGACTGACACGAAGGACAGCATCTGGGCTCACCTGGGTTGGCACCCCCGTCCCCTACAGGACTTGGGGTGGGATTTCTCCACGGTCCCGGTATTTCCACTTACATCCTAAGGAATCTGTTTTCTGTAGGCGCTTTAGGGGCCAGTGATGGCTCGTCGGCGGGAGTGGACACCCGTGGGAACACACGTGTCACCGATGAGATTTTTGTCCTTGCAGACGCACGTGGATTCTCCCGTGTGTTGTGAGGTGACTGTTGGCACACGGGGTGGGCTGGGAATAGAGAAGGCATCCCGACGGGACGGGGTATGTCAGCCCCAGAAGCACTGTCCCGCACGTAGCCTGTTGGGCGAGGGGGGACGTGGGCGTCTCCCTCCGTCTCTGGGTCGCTGTCATTTACACCATTCTGCCCTCAGCCTCTTCCTGGTGACCACCCCCAAGGGGTCATGGTGGGGACCTAAAAACCGCCCCCTGGTTTGTCGTGGTTCTCCCTGGCTGGGCTTTGACAAGAGGACGGTCTCGACTCCGACACCAGGGCGGACAGCAGGTCCCGGTGTGCTCCCTCTTAGGGTGCGTGAGGTTCTGCGGGCGTGCCGGGCCGTCGGTGTCCCCATGTCTGCAGTGGGGACCCTGGCCGGCCTCGGCCCGTTTGCCCAGAAGCTCCCCCGTACCGAGGGTGCGCTGCGTCATCCCGACCTCACGCTGTTGGTACTGACTGTCCCTGGATTGAAGCCAGGGGCCGGCGGCGTGGGCACCGTGTCCCTCAGCTGTGCCCGGACGGAGGAGTGGGGCAGGGATGTTCTCTACACCTGAGGGCATCAGGGGTCACCGGGCGAGGCGTGGGGGTGGGATTGGGACCCATTCTGAAGACGGCAGCCGGACTTTCTTTGAAATGTTTTCTCTCTGCTTGCGTTTTTGGGGAAACATGAGATAAAATGCATGTTTGGGAACAGGTTTGATGGTATGAGCTGTGCGCAGGGGTGTCTGGGAGAGTCCTGCTGCCGGACGGGGCCCGGTCTCAGCCCTGCAGGTCTGAGGGTCCCCGCGGCGTCCTTCTCCCCTGCTTCTGCCCCGGGTGCACCTCGTTCCCCAGCTGTGCAGGGTCACTGCCTGCCCCTGCACCCCCCTCTCACCTCTCCCTGCTTCCCACGGGGCCGGGGAAGGACAGGTGAACCCCAGGGCAGGGTGGGGGATGGAACGACCCCACTGCCCAGGCGCACAGCAGGGAGCCGGAGGTCCCACTTCCTCTTCCAGGCGGCCCCCCTGCACCCGAGGACGCCACGTCCTCAGGCCCCTGTGGTCAGCGTGCCGGACACACAGGCTGCCACCGGCGTCCTGCACAATGTAGACGCCTCCCCACCGCCGCTTCTGCCCAGATCCTGTGCACACCCCTGCAGGGGGCCGCCTCTGCTGCCGTCCCCGTCTGGCATGGCCCCCGGCTCGCCTCACCCCCCACCGCTGCAGCACGATGGCCAGTGCCTGAGTGTGTGTGTCCCCCGAAATGTCTGAATCCTGACCTGGGATTAGCAGGTGGGGCCTTGGGGGGGGGTGGGATTCGCTTATGACGGTGCGGCCCCACGCGCAGGATACCTGTCCTGTGAGACCCAGGGGGCCCCCGGGCCTCTCCCCTGTAAGCAGACGCAGGATAGACAGCTGTCCCTGACCCAGGGCACAGGTCCTCCCCGGACCCCAAGTCCTCCTGCATCTGGATCTCAGACGTTCATGCCGGGACGGTGAGAAACGCACGACTGTTGTTCATAAGCCCCAGCCCCGGCATTAGTATTCCAGCGCCCGCAGCCCAGACGCGCGGTGACTGACCGCCGGGTTGCGTCCATCCGAGGCTGGGCGCAGATGCTGGCCGGACGCCTGGCCTCCTCCCCGTCCTTCCGTCTCGCTCCCCGACACTGCACTGCTCTGGGCGTCACCGTTCCCCGCAGGAGCCCCTGTGACGATACCCCGTGCCGGGCTCCGGGTGCGCCACGTGGCCGCCAACCCGTCCAAACCCAGGTGGGCGCCCCGACCGGGATGCTGGCAAGGGCCCAGCACCTGTGCCATCGCATCTTGCGGGGAGGCCACAGGGGTGAAGGGAGGCTGTGAGGACCGTCCCGGGATGAGGTGTGCCGAGGAGGGTCCCTGCTGGCAACACTCCGCTGGGCTCTGTCTGTGGTGGGGCCGTGCAGTACTCAGCAGAGTGGGGACCTCTAGCCGTCCTTCTCTTTCCCTCCTCCTGCTGTTTGCTCTCTCTGTCCTCCGGGGACTCCTTTGACCGTCTCTGAATAGGTCACATGCGCTGCTGCCCCAAG